GACATTATGCTTTGATTTCCATGTCAGTTCTTTACATTGTCAGGCCCTTGGAAAAATGCAGCAGAAAAGGCAGCCAAATATTTCTTTTCAGGCAACTTTTAACACAGAAATTTATCCAAGTCCAAAGTCTGAAGAGCACTGAGAAAACAAGTAAAAGCTTGAGCAGAATCTTCTAAGCTGGAGATAGAGAACAGTTAATTCTGAGAAAATACCAGAAATGCGTTTTTAGCTCCTGGGAAGGAAGAATTCCTGGGAGGACATTCCTGAGGTAGCTCAGGTGGAGTGTGGTATTATTTAACACTGTTCCTCACAGCATGTTACCCATGTTGTCAGGCTTTCCAGGCAAATGTCTTTTCCTGGATGTTTTTCCTGTGAAATGAAGCTTTTTGTCCTCACTGAAGGGGACTTTAGAGCCTATCATCAGCAGGCTCATGGAAACACGGCTTTTATACCATCTTAAATATTCCCTTGGATCCAGTGCCAGGCGTAACAATCTGCCTCTCTGAGCAAGGATTTTGCTGAGCTCTGTGTGAAGTGTGTCTCAATGAAGTGGCCAAGGACATGTGGAGGAGTACAGCACAGATAAGGCACAGAGGCCTCTGGGTGAGCTTCCTTTCTTTTAAGGGGCACTTTTCTCCCCCCTAGCCTGGCTGAATATTCTTTTATACTTCGCTGTTTGTCACTGAGTGCAAGTATTTCATTATGAGGAGGTTAAGATGCTCTTAATTTTCAGCAGGTAACTTAGGCCAAAACCTTACAGAGTTTTTGAATGTGGGTGTTCATTCCCCCTTATTTTAGATGCTGCTTTACTGAAAGTGGCAAGCAATGAAATTGTTTTATAAATCACATTATATAATTCAAAATGAAATTCTAAATTCCCTGAATAGGCTTTTTTCCTTGTTTTCTGTTTTGCCTGACTGAGGATTCTTGTGAAAGGATTCTTCCAAGTCTGTAAGCTCTGATGGGAGTGTTTATCTTCATGACCTGAGGCAGTTTGATCACATATTTGATATTGGAGTATTAATCTCATATCATTATTATTAATCATATTTGATTACATATCTGATACTACATATTTTTCCTCCCTGAAATGAAAAGCCAGGGATATAAATAAGGCAGCAACAGGAGTCCTTCATGTGCCTTGAAATATAGTTTTGCTGTCATCAAATCTGTGTGTGCTTCTCTGAAACTGCCCCCACAAGTTCCTCTTTCCCGAGTTAAATGTGTGAGAGAGGATGTCACTGGTCACTTAGTCATGTGCTGCTTTGGTTTGATGACAGGAGAAAGCATGAAGTCCTTTCCCATCCAGTGGTGCTGGGGGAAAGGGCAAGCCATGAGCCAGCACTCGATGCAGTGACCACACCCCGAGACCCAGGTCACATGCTGGAACCAACCAGGGGGGGAGTTTTTTTTTGCTTCCCCAAAGTATTCCCTTTGGAGTCAAGGGACACAGCTGAGCTATCCAAGGTATTGCAGACTGTGCTGAAGGTTAGTGGTTCCCACCCTAGGGCCTGGCTCTGCTTTTGGACACAAGATATTAAATACAGTTGGGGCTGGCAGGTCCAACTGAGTGCAACGTGGCACTGGAGCTGTGGAGCCCGGGATCTGACAAGGAATGGGGACAGATGAGCTGGATTCTGGAAAAGGCATGGGCCTGGAAATCACAAAAGGGTGCTGGGTTGTTTGCCTGCCTTCTCAGAAGGTCGAGAACAGATCCTAAGGTGGGAGATTCCATAGGCTTCCTCCCAGGATTAGACCCTAAGGAGCCCCTTGGTTGCTTTAACTCCTTGCACATCATCTCCCCCATCCTTCTCCTGCCCTGGTCGTTTAAGACCTCTTCCTCTGGCACATTTCCAGGGAAACTGGTGCCTGTCATGCCCTCGGGCAGTGCTGGGGCTGGGAGCTGAGGGCTGTCCCACACACAGCCCCCTTGTGTGAGCTGCCAGGCAGGAGCTGTTTGTATCCAGGCTGACATACAAAGCATTTGTTTGCCAGCGGCTGCCACCGACTGTCCGGGCTTGGGATTAAAGATGACTCATTGTACCCTTATTTCTGTGTGCATTTAAGTGCAGTAGACACTGGGAATCAGGGAGAGACGCCCAGTGTGAGCCTTTTTGGTTTTCTGTCATCTGTGCCAATGAGTTTGGTGCACTTTAAGGACACAGACCACAGGCTTTGTGCATGGGAAGACTCCTGAGAGCTCAGCTGTGCTGCTCTGGCGCCACTGAAGCTAAAAGAGACATTGCAGAATTTCAATCAGAGTTAGTTCAGTGCCTAAGTAAATCATAATGTGATGCAGGCAGGCAAAATCATGTAATTGCAGCCTTCAATACCTGTGTTTGTGTCAGGAACGGGGGAAGATCTCGGGCTGTGACATAATGCAGGCTCAGAACAAAGCAGACTCTGATTGTAGGTCTGCAGCCTCTCAAATGTAGTTAGCAGAGACTGTGGAAATCCCTGGAGCAAGACCTCCACTTTTCCTCAGTAAAATAGTGTGGAGAGGCAGTGTGCATCCAGGCTTTAATGCAGCAGCAGACATCCTAAGTGCCAGAATCTGCTCCTGAAGTCTTTCAGATCAATAAGCAGTTGAGCATAGGCTAACAAAAGGAAAACAAGACTCCTAGAGTCTGCTCTATCATATTCCAGTGGAGCATCCTTCACGGAGTGGCATTCACATGGGATATCACTCACAAGTGAGGGAAATGTGTGCCATTGGTTTGCTAATTTTAAATGTGCTCTCCTAGTACAGTTCACTTAAAAGTAGATGTGGGTTGTTGGAACTCAGTCAGGCTGAGTCCCAGATGGGGCAAATAAATGGAACAGGTCTCTCTCTCTGCCCCATTCCTTTGGGAGGCTTTGTGTCAGGGGCTGGAGGGTTCATCCACTGCTGTGGGATTTGGGCCCTGAAGTCCCACTGACAGTCCTAGACTGTCATCCTCCCTTTTTCAGGAGGCATACATGTCATACTATAGGAAAAGGTACACAAGCACCGTTTATTCTGTTTGAATGACAGGTTATTTATAATTTCTGGCATGTTCAGGGTTATCAGGAGAGGTTTTCAAGGCTGGAGGGTAAAGTCTCTGCTCTCCAGTGTCTTATATTGATGGGAAAGTGAATGACTGATAAAGTACCTGACCTGTATGACTAACCTGACCCTGTTAGCCAGCTGTGCCAGAAACCTGCCAGCTCCTTATAACTCTCTATATCTATAGTAAGATCAGAGTTACATTTTTATGGTGATTCAGACTTTGTTGGCTTCCTGTTTCTAATCAATAATGAGGGGCAGGGGGTTTATAAGGAAAGAGAGAACACAATCCTCCACTGGTTTTGCCTTTCTCCAGGGTTGTTTTTGCCAGGTTCTCCTGTGCTGGGAGCAGCATGGGCACATATCAGCTGTGCTTTTGGTTCCTCCCTGGGTGCTCCCACATTTGTGCTTGTCCCTTGGTGTGCAGAGGGTGCTCCCAGCAGTCCAAGGCTGTTTGTAGTGCTCAGCAGGAGCAGGACAAGTAAACCTGGTTGGTCCTGGAGCTGCCTCAGGGCTGTATGGAAGAATGAGGGTTTGGAGAGGTTGTGTCAGTCTCCACGGGCAATGCTTATGAGGATAAGATCAAGCACTTGAAAGACTGTGTTCTTCCTGCTGCAATCTGCATAGCAGCCACTAAAACAGGAATTAAGGGAGTAAAACTCTGGCAGCAGGAGCTTTACTGATTAGTTGGGCTTGGCACTGCAAGCCAGGCCCTCAGCAAACCTTGTGTAGGTTATCCAGACAGTGCTGCTTGGCAGAGCCTCCCATTCATCCCAGTGCACGCCCTGCAGCTTCCTTGCCTTCCTTTCCCAGCAAGATCCCTGTTTCACAGCCCCTAGTGACATTCTCCCACCCAAAATGTATTTCCTGCTCCCTCCCATCATAGTGTGGTTCCTTGGCCACGTCCAGCTCAGGAGTGCCCTGTTTTCAGCTCCGTGCCAGTGCTGTGGGGTTCAGGGTGAGGTTTGGAGGAAAGTGGAGCTGAGTGAGGGGAGGAATGTGGGTGAAGGGAGCAGTGAGGAGAAGGTGGCCTGCAGTGACACTCAGCCCTATGCAGACACAGTTGGGCACCCCCGAGTCACGAGGCTCCTTGTGCAGAAGCGGCCAGTGAGTCAGGGGAGCAGCAAACGAGACCCGGAGTAGCTGATGGGTGTGACTGGCTGCCCTTGCTAATTCTGGTGTAGCTCAGATGATGAGGAATATGGCTCTGGGTGTGTGCAATTGTAAAATGTGCTATGTGATCTGTATCACAATTAGGACATGTATGTGTGTGTGTGTCTTACAATCCGTGAGGACTGTGGTTATTTAGCTGGAGAGTGTCAAAAACAGGAGAGTCAAGCAGGCCCAAATTTCAGAGGGAAAAACATTTTTGCTGCTGTTCTGGTAATAGTTAAAAGTATTGATTTCCTCAGCAGCAAAATTAAGTGCTGTAGGCAAATCTCTCATCCCCTGAGTTGTCACGGTCCCAAATCTGGCAGTTCTAACCCAAGAGCAAAGGCTGCTCTTACACAAGCCCCAGCTTTGCTCCCAGCCCTCTCCAAGGTCGCTGATGGTCCTGGTAATTGCAGTGTAGCTTTGCCCCACAGTGAACTGCTTTCCTGCCAGCACTTAATTTGCACTGTGTGGGAAGAATAAATTAAAGCTGGAGACAGTGAAATGCAATCTCTACCCACTTAGAAACCTTTCACAAATGTGTCAACTCTCAGCTGAAATCAGGATCTTATAATTAGGTTATTATTTTATTAATTAAGCATGGAGTACTAGAAACATACCCAGTGTGTGTGAGTTCATTGATGACAAGGAGGTGTGTTAGCTGTGCATGGAAAGCAGAAGAGCAAAGCCTCTGAAAGCCAAATTGTAGATAAGACAGAAACTGGTAGAACATTTATTAAGTAAAGCACTCTTCTAGTTGCAGCTGCATTCTTGGTGTTGAGATGAAACTACACTCCTGTTTCATGTGTCTGTGTGCCCTCAGGTCACAGCTCCTAAAGGAAGCAGTGCAAGACCTGGATCCAGTTGGACGTGGTGGGAACAGGTCTGGCAACAGGGGCAGATGATTGTAGCACCAAATGCTGAAGTAAGGAAAGGCACGATTCCTGTCTGGGGTGTCAAAGAGCAGAGATCCATGAAGTGACATGGATGCACACAGAGACAAGGAAAAACACCGCACCCCTCCTGTGTGCTGTTCCAACCCTTTATTGTGGCCAGCATAAGACATTCACTGGAGAAATGTCTGATAGTTACTAAACCCCAGGAGTAGGATTAAGGATTTCTGGGATCTGTTCTGATTTGTCTGATACTATGCTCTGTGATTTCCTAATTCCTTCCCTGGGAAGCTTTTCCCCTCCCTACACAGACCCGAAGGAGCTGAGTAACTGGTGTTGCACAAACTGAAGAAGCCACTTGACAAGCTCAGTAAGTTTGGCTTTTTATGTCTCTTCAAGGTATTCCCAGTGCATGGGACAGGACTGTTTCATCATGTACACGCTTTCGAGAATGTGGGCCTTGTCTGCCTCTCTTCCTTGCAGTATCATCATGATTTGGAAAGGGAAGATGTGCCTCTGCTTGTTTCAGGGATCTGCAGTTGTGAGACAGGATTGTACCTTGAGCCAGCAGTGCACCCACTGCATTCCCGTGCTGCACTTCAGAGGTGGAGTCGCTCCTCACGGGAATGTTCTCAATGTATCATGGCCAGTGAGCACTTCCTTGGTTTCCAAAGGTAAAATAATTTGCCAAAAAAAGAAAAAAACTCACGCTGAGAGTCTAGAAAATCTGCTTGGAGGAAGGGTGTGGTTCTATGCATCACATGGGTAGCTCTTTGTAGAAAAATAAACCGAAATAATGAATTAAGCAAACCCAAAATTCTGCAGAAATCTTTGCTTGAGCTATAAATATTCATGCCAGGGTTCAGCAAAAAGAATTTCAGTGATCCCGTAGTCTGCAAGGATCCTTTATCTGTTTCAGTAGCAAACTAAATTTAGCCTTTGAAAAACCAAACTATCTCCCAATTAAGATAGAATTTCTTAAATATTCCTGCCTTTCTTTTGATTTGCCAGGGTTTTGGTGCTCAGATAAACCAGCATGTTCGTTAACATCATGAATAAAGAAATGCCTGATGGCTGTGGAAAGTAGTTCTGATAAAAATGGCTCTGCATAACCAGAGAATTGCTGTATATTCCTGGTCTTGTATATTCCTGTACTCCTGTATTTATCTCCGATTTGGGGACAACAGCCCTGGCATTGGAGCGTGTGCATCAGGAGATCCTCACTGGAAAACAGAAGTCCTGGAGCAGTTAAACAGCCTGAGGTGAGACAAGAAATATTTCTCCATTGCACTGTTTCAGCAACTGTGGAAAATGTGTTTCATGTGCTGCAGGAGGAGCGAGCCGCCTGTAAACATCGTCACTGCAGCTGGTCCCCACCAAAGACCAATATTTTATGGTGGAAGGGAAGGTTTATGGTTTCAGAGAGAGAATTCCCATGGAAGACTCCTTCTAAGGGGAGAATTCTATTGCTGTAGATGAATTAGCCTTTAAAACCAGATTCTAATTGTTGCTTGGGGTTTTGGTTGTGGGTTTGTTGGGGGTTTTTTTGTGTGCTAATGATGAAACAGGGCTAAGAACAACACTCTGGAATGGGAATCTAAATAAAAACAAGCTGCCAGAACAAATTTTTTTTTTAATTTTTTTTTTTATCACTGCCTGGGTGGAACCACAAAAATTCTGGTCTTCCAAACAACTGTGAAATGTGACCTCAGAACCTTCTCTAAACAAAAATACCCAGAAGGGCACATGTTAACATAACACTGTTACTGCAATCACAATGACAGGAAGAAAAATTTATAAAGGAAAATTATTTCAGTCCATCTTAGCAGGAAATCCACCTGATGGGCCACTTGCCCTCTGCTAGGGAAGGCATTATTTGGATCAGGCTGCTGCTGGCAAGCTGCCGGTCTCGTGATTTGGGGAGGGAACTGACTCATGGGCTTGGGAAACGCTAATGCTGCTGGAAGCCCGGTGATGGCACAGGAGCCCTGTGGCAGCTGAAATGCTTTGTACTGTGGCATAATCCGATCCCCGGGAAGCTTCACGCCCCCTACAAGTTTTTCCCTAATAATCTGGCTGGAGAATTTTTCCGCCCGTTAGCCAGCGAACCCCGTGACGATGCGCGGAGCGAGGCGCGCCGGCAGCTCCCGTCGCCGGCACACGGGAAGATTCCGGCTGTGCCAGGGCTGGCGGGCAGGAAGCCAACCTTCAGTTCTTTCCGGGATACATCCAGCCTTTCCCAGTGAGCCGGGAGAGCATCCCCCGGGAGAGCCGCGGTCCCCCCCCAGCCCCGAGGGGCGGAGGCGGTGGCTCCTCCCGGCGCGGGCAGGCGGGGCCCGGTGTCCGCCCGCCCCCGGAGCCGGAGCCCGGCGGAGCTCGGGGTGTCCCCGCAGCAGCAGCAGCCGCAGCCATGAAGTCGCTGTGCCTCGTCACCGTGGGGGTCCTGGCCATGACGCTGCTCATCGCCAGCATCTCCCTGCTGGTAGCGCACGTCTTCCAGACGGTGGTGGATCTGCAGGTGAAGCAGGTGAGAGAGAACGCGGCCGCGCGCCCGCCCCGCTCCTTGTTTACCGCCTTATTCACTCTGAAAATAGCCCTGGGAGGGAGGGAGCGGGCTGGCTCCCTCCTTGCACCAGCCGTGGTTGGGTGGGCAGGAGCATCCCCGGGCAGTGAACACCCCCGTGCCCAGTGACAGCCCCCCCCCGGGCAGTGAACCCCCCCTGCCCTGCACCACCCGGCTGGGCTGGGGCTCAGGATGGAGCTCACACTGCACTGGCCCCTGGGCTGAATAAAAATTGGGTGAATATGCATAAAAATCAGCCTTCTAGAGGCTGTGGTGCAGCAGCTGTACCAAGGAGGCCTCTCCAGAGCAGGAGCACATGGGGGGAGCAGGGGACACCGAAAGCACCCTTCCTTTTTGCCATTCCTGTTATAGATTTCTTGCAGCCTGCTCTGCTGCTCCGTTTACAGCTGCCTCTGGAGCACGGCCAGAGGTGCCATGGGCTGAAGCACGTGGTGTCTCCCAGGCTGGGTGATGGCAGCAAGGCATTGCACCCTGTTGTTCCAGGCTTGGGGACACCCATCCTGGCCTTGCTGGTGGTGCAGAGCCCTGCACTGTTCCTGCTCTGCCTAGGCTTTGTTTCTCTCCCAGAGTGCCTCTGTGCATTTATCCAGGGGTCCAGTGAGGAGGGTCAGCTCTGTTAGGAACTCCCTGTGTAAATAAACAATTGTTTCTCTTCCTGGCCTGAGGAATATCATCTTGGCTCTTCTTCTGACAGACAGACCAGCATTGTGAACAAAAGCAGGGGTTTGACAAGTGCTGTCCTCTTAACTGGTGACCAGATCACCTGTGATCTCCTAACCTACTGTTCTTCCCTCTGGGCCATAGACAGGGAATATTCCCTACCACAGAAACCGTGTTGTCTTAACTCAGTTTGGGTTTAGTGCCATTTTAGGTCAGCAGTGAGCTTACAGCAGGTCGTGGTGCTTTGAGATGTGCCCGTAAACTTCAGCACAGCTCCATCTCCCAGGCCTTGGCTCTCCTTGGGAAGGAGTCTGCCATCCTCTGCATCCCAGAATTCTACTTTCAGGTCCATTTCATCCAAAGAGCAGCGGGGCAAGAGCGGTGGTTTGGTGTAGGACTGCCGGGAATTAGGCGTGATCCTCCTTACGCGCATTATCTCCTGGCTGCTGCTCCTTCCCCGGAATGGGGGGTTATGTAAGAGCAAGTTGGTGTTCGCTCAGCAGGGCTTTCAGTAATGCAGGATAAAGTTTCCAGAGCTCAGTCCTTTCCTGCTTGCTGCTCTCTGGCTCGTCCTGGCATTCGTCTGGATTGCAGGGAATGAGGCGTGCTGGCTCCCCCACTGACTGCCTGCTGGCCTTTTCCAGGATCCACACGCACACACAGACTGTGGAAGTGCAGCTCACAGCCCCAAAGCAGTGTGCTCCCAGTCACTCTGCTGATCCGGCTGCTTTCCACATGTGCTTTATCCCACATGAGCTTTTCCTCATTTGTGTGCAGTCTAGAAAGCTGCTGTCTCTTGTGTAACCCCGTGTGTAGCTTAGAAAACCTTGTGCAAATAGACAAATCTCAATTTGCCTTTGAATTGGGGCAAGACCTGAGCATTTGCAAGCAGTTCCTGTTCCTTTGAGGGCTTTCCCAGCCGTCCTGGAGCGGAGCTGACTCGCAGGGAAGGGCTGTCTGTGCAGTCTCAAGTGCAGCTGAAGTGCAAAACTTTATTTTGGAGCAGCTGGAGCCCCTGTGTGTCCAAACCCAGCACCTGTGAACCACTGAGGATGGCTCTGCTTTCAGCAGGGGATTGTGTACAGCACCCTTTCCATCCAAAGGCAGGATCTTGGATTACAGAGGGAGTGTGGGAAGAGTGGGAAATCCAACCAGGTGTCAGACTTCACATCCCTTTTAAAATCCCCAGGCAGATGTGTAGTGACAAGGACAGTGGGAGCACCATTCCCAGAAGGTGTTCAAATCTTGCCCACTTACTCTTTGTTTTATTTGCGGTTTTATTTTTGTGAATTAAAAGTGCCGCCCCAGATCAGGTGTCCAATACCTGTTTGTTGTCAGGGCCTAGCACCTGAAACTCCAGAAAATAATGGGAAAGAACCTATAATGAACAAGAATAAATCAGCTGCCCCCAGGAGAAAGGCCTTGTCTGCAGTGTTGCCTTGTGCTCTCTGTTGGGTAGATGCCTATGTATTTTTTGCAATAAATATGCAGTTCATGAATATAACCTGATATTTTATATAGATATGCTGGTCTGAACACTTACCTGATCACCTTAAAAAGTTGCACTTAAATTCTGTCGAAGATGAAAGCATGAAAGTACATCTTGGAATGAAAATGTTTTGGAGTTCTGGGGAAAAAAAAAATGGAATTTAATAGAATGTTCAGTACTGTTTCCCACCATCACTACCAGTAAGTTGTATTTGGGTGGGAAAGCTCCCTTTTTACTTCCTGTGTGTGAAGAACAGTCAAGACAAGGAAACACTGGTGAATGAGAGAGCTGCAAGTTCAGGGCTGGCTGGTAAATGCAGCCAGCAGGAAGGATGCTTTGCAACACTGGAAATGAGCATGGACTCCACTTGTGAAGGAGAAGCCCTGATGTCCTTGTAATATCATGTGATAGACCCAAATATCTCTGGTAACATTTGGTGAAAATCAGAAGAAAAGAGCCTACCCTATTTCATTATTTGGGAGTTTTTGGGAGTCAATCTGAACCAGCTCTAAAATACATTAATTTTTGTGATGTGCACAGAATACATGATTTTTAATCCTTAGGGGAAACCAGTCTGCAAATGCAAAGTGCCACCAGCTGGGTTGGCTTTCGCTACCATTCAGCAATAGTCTTGCCATTCTGAGCTCCTGCCAATAAGTTTGTCTTTGAAACAGTCTTCTCTTTATCTAATCCTTCAAAATTAAGGTCTGCATGGAGAGAAAACGGCTCCTTAAGTGGGAAGGCCAAAAATGAGTCCTGAGGCAACTGTGGCTGATAAGACCCCATAAACAGCGACCAAGAGCTGGCAGCTGCCCAGCCTGCCCTGCTTTTGAGCTTCCACTGACAATATTTGACTTGTTTGCTCTGAAGAATAAAAAGAACAAGTGTTGATGAGACCCATTTAATTGCAAATCATTCCCCCCCCCCCTTTCTTCCGCCTACAGGTGATGTGGTTTTCAAAGACAGAGTTTTCTTTGTGCTTATTCCTGGAAGTTCACTCTGTGAGCCAGATTTCCCTTCGTGACCACTGCAGCAGTACCAATGCTATTACTGGGTGAAAGGCCTTGATTTTGGTGGTGGTGGTGCTTTATGTTTGGGGTGACTTTTGTCTAAAATGGGACGGTAATAAAATGAGGGATTGAGGCCTCTGTTATGGAGCAACATGACAGGAGTGTTTGTGACTTTCTGTATAACATGTATATGCTGATAGATGAGGGAATTAATCTTTCATTTCTCAAGTGCTTCTGTTATAAAATGATGATTTATAGCTTTCCTTTTGTAGGGCCACGTTTTATCAGTTACAAAATAGACTGACAGGCTGTGGGTCTGGAGGTGCATGTGCTGCCATGCTGTAGGAAAGTAATTAAAGGCAGAGGGCAAAAAATCTTGGCCCTATTCCAAGACCTTGGAAAGGTGTGAATCATAGGACACATACAGGAAAGGAGTTTCTGTCACTTGCAGGTTTTCCTCTGAAAAACAAAGTCTGATTGCTTTGGAGACAAAATCTCAAAGAATTCCTCCCTTTCGTGTAAATATCATTCAGCATCTACATTAACATTAACAGCTAATCTGTCTTTCCTCTCATTCCAGGGGACAGTATTGAAGAATGGCACGGAAACCTTTGAAGCCTGGGAGGACCCTCCTCCCCCAGTCTACATGCAGTTCTACTTTTTTAATGTGACAAATCCTTTGGAAGTGCTCCAAGGTGCTAGTCCTCTTGTAGAGGAAATAGGACCATACACCTACAGGTAGGACCCTTTCACTGTTTTCAAAGCTGTTGTGTGTGAGGAAACCAAAAAATGGGATCCAGAACGCTTGGGATCCCATTCTAGGAGAAAACCTAGCTGTTAATGTGGGAGGGAAAGTTGATCAAGGGGGCATGGTCACACCCCACCCAGCCAGCACTGACATTTGCAGCCAGTTGCAGATGAAGCCAGTGACTTCTGTCAGATTTTGGGCAAGGTTTTGCTGGTGTGCTGCTGTTCCTCAGCTGCTGAACGAAGAGGAAGCTGTTTGCATCCTGGCCTGCTGTCTTGTGAGAGAAAAAACAGTTGGGTGATGTTTGAGAGTCTGGGGAGAGGAGTGTTGCATAAAAAAAGTGTGACTCCTGCTCACTCAGGAATTAGTTCCCAGCCAAAGTTGCACAATCCACGTTGGTGAAATGCGGCCAGAGAAGCAGTTGGAGTGGTGCTTCAGGGATCTTCCTCAGCCAACCCTTACTGTAAAACCTGCTTAGGTTTTAGAGTTGTCTTTTCCTAAGCTGCAAAATGACCAGAATCTGTTGGTATTTCAAAAAAATACTGGGGAACGAAAGTGAGAGCCTTGGTTCTGCAGTATCTCCTGCCTTTCCGTTTCTTCCCTCCCACACCTCAGCTTTGTTTCTGCCTCTGCCAACAGTCCTTTCCCCTATCTCCTCTGCATTCCAGTCCTGTGTCTGTTTAGGCCTGGCAAACTCCACGTGGTGCTTTGGCAAAATCCCTGGTGTTACATAAACCATTAGAGCTGGAGAAAAGATCCACAGGCTTTCAAGTTCCTAAGTTTTCCCTTAGGTGTGTGCAGTGTAACTCTGGTCCTTGGTCAGCAGTGCGTTCTCTGTTTTGGGAGGATAAACAGGGGCAGGTCCAGGGCTAACAGAGCTGCAGGAAAACACGCAGGCTGGTGCTCAGTCCCTTTGCCAGCTGCTTCTTTTCCCTTTCCTCAGCTCCAAGTCTGTGCTGGCTGTCCCGCATAGCCCAGTTTGGGAAGCTGCAACTTATCCATTAAGGAGCTCCATGGGATGGACGGGGCTGGTGACATACTGGCCGGGTTGGGCTGTGCCTGAGGGAAGGCCCAGCCTAAGCTTGGTTTGCTGGGAGAGCCTTTCCCTGCATCCCACACCACAGCCCCAGCTGTTTGTGTGAGGATTGTTTGTGTGAGGGAGGCTGTGCATTCCAGTTGCTCCTGGCTTGTTTGCTTAGCATGACATGTCTGGACAGGATTCCCTGGTGCTGTGCTCTGTCTGATAGAGGAAAGTTAGGAAGTGGAGCGCCCTTTTCCAGCAGATCCTTTAATCCCTGCCTAGCTGTCGCTGCAGCAGCCTGTCAGCTGTGGGTGGGAGCAGAGGGAGCAGGGAGGGATGTTGCAGCCAAACTGCACGCTGGAGCCAGGGAATAAATACCCAGCTGCTCTCACAGGCCCTGTGTAGCAAAGCACTAAAGATTCATTTAGGTTTAGCACGTGGCAGAACACCCAAAATGCCATAACATGAAGGACATGGCTCTGTGTTTTTATAAACCAGGGTGTTTGGGAAAGGCTGGAAGTGAACTGGAAAAACAGAGGAAAAGCAGAGGAAAAACATCCGGTGAGTGACAGAGAGGAGGTGGGAGGGCTCAGTGGAGTCTCTTCCTGCAGCCCAGAGTTTTGACCACCAAAGCAGTTGGTGCAGGGGTAGATTCTGTAACAAAAATGCAGTCGTGCTGGTGTTTTTAAATCCTGGAAGTTGAATTGGCAGCATGTAAAACAACTAATTATAAAGTGCAAGCTGCTTATCTGCCCGAGCCTGCTGAGTCCCAAAGAACTTTGGAATATTGTCTGGTCTTGCACACATTTACAGCTTTCTGTCTTTAATATCTGAGAGCCTCCTACTCGTATCCCTCATCAGGGAGTATTATTTTCCTCTCCAGAGCTGGAAACGTGTCTCAGGTTACCCCCGGCCTATTTTAGGAAGGCATTTCACAACTGTCCATTTCCATCCCCTCAGTTCCAGCCCCGGGGTTATAAAATAGATTGCTGTCCAAATCAGGCTGGAAGTGTTGCCAGACCGAAATGTTGCTGGGTGGCAGGGATGCTGAAGAGGGGTGGATACTCTGTTTGGGTGAGGAGGATGGGAAGTGGTTGGTTCCTAACAACAATAGTTCTGTGGGCCTTTCCAGTTTGCTTTCAATTTTAAAGGCTGGACCAGGGTAATGCAGCCTGTCATGAAGCTGCATCACTGGATGTGGTGCAGCCAGCCTAGAATCTGGGATCTGAACTGAATGCAGAACATCAGAGCACAGGGGCTGGCACAATAATTCACCCTCATGTCTTGTGACTTGACGTTTACCCAGGCAGCAAAGCGACGAGAAAGTCGCTCTTGAGTGAGTGCAGGGTTAGGAAATACAGGATATTGCTCTTCATGTGGGTGCCATGAGCAGCCAGCCTTTTGCCATTTCTCTTTTGGGGTTTGCTGGAGACACGTGTGTGGCTCATGCTGAGCCTGAGCCAGCCCGTTCTGCAGAGCTGCAGACTTCTTGTTCGTAGAATGGTAATGGCAGTGAAAATTGAATTATGCTTCTGACATGTGTTTCGGGGTAATTAAGGCCTGACTTCCTCATCAAGCCAGCAGGTAGCAGTTGATGTTTCTCGCCAATTGGACTGGTTTGTCAGCAATCCTGAGTTTTATTCTGCTGTCTGAATACTTAGACAGGAACAGCAGCAACCTCCCAGGCCATGGGTAGCGCACAGCAAAAATGCAGTCGACTCTCTCTCGTGTCCAGGACTCCTGCCTGAGAATTAGAGGAGAAGAACTAAAATGAGTGTTGTTCTGTGGTTGTGTCACATGTCAGCCCAGAATTCCTAGAGCCTAGTGCAGTGAATCCAGCTGAAAGATTCTGGTAGGTTCTTAGGTCAGGGCACTGAGACTTACGTGGAGCCTGCATCTGCCTGGGAGTGAATTATACCTGCAGCGAAGAGGCAAAAATTTCATTTTCAAACTGTACTTCAAGGGCAGTCCCCTATATGGTACCTCCAAATCCTTCTGTACCATCTGAAATTGTTCTCCTTCCTCAGAGGTTTTTAAAGATGAGGCAGAAATATGAAATGGAATTAACACATGGGGTGGCATTTTTGGAAGTGCCCCACGAGGTCTGACTCAGCTCACTCTGACACAACGAGGAGTTTGTATCAGTGAGGAAATCTACTCCCAAAGCACTGAAAATCCCACCCTTTCTGTGCTCAAAGCACTAGAATAGCCACAATTTAATTGCAGTTAATGCTGTGGGTACTTGTTTAACTTGATTAGAGAACTCTCTTGTTTTTCAGGGAATACAGGCCAAGAGTCCACGTTCAGTTTTTGGACAATGGGACCAAAGTGTCTGCTCTGAACCCAAAGACTTACGTATTTGAACCTCAGAAGTCAGTCGGAGACCCTGAAGTGGACCTGATCAGAACAGTAAATATTCCTGCAGTGGTGAGTTCTCTTTCATTCCTGCTTGGAAATCATCCTGGCACACTTCAGAACGAGCAGCTCCTTGCTTCATCCTGTCTCTGCCTTTGTGGGATTGGAGAACAAGAGAGGCAGGTCATGTCTGGGGCAGGTGCTGCTCTCAGTTTTGGGTTGGACTGTTGTGGCGTTCTTATTTTGTTCCTCCCTCCCCTCACAGCTCTGCAGTGTTGGTGCTGAGAGCTGGCAGAGGAGTTTCAGACAGGGCTGGATGAAAAGGACCTCTCAGAGTAAAATGAAGGTTAAAAGATGCACCCCCAAGTCCTGTTAAGTGAAAGAAAGTGTCCTTTTGGTGAGCAGAGGCAGAACATTATTTTGGTCTCAGACAGGATTAGCATGAGAACAAGCAGATCTAAAGCTGTCACTGCTTCCTGAGGAAATCAGACTGTACTCAAGTACTCAGGTGTGTGACTAAGCCTTTACTCCCCATCCCAGTTTAATTTACTTCAGTTGCAGGGTACAGTCATTTCTGCTTTTCCCCCAGCTCTGCCAAAAATGCCTGATTTTATGAATGGCTACAAAAATGCCCTGTATATAGTCGTAGATAGGACTCAGCTTACTGAAAGTTGGAGACAGTGCAGATGCTGTGTTTTCAGCTCCTCCCAGGCATCTCAGTGGTGGTCAGGATTCTCTCTCCTTCAGATTTTTGGCTGGGATGTACTGTAACAGGCAGCAGGAGAAGAGCTACAGGTTGGTTTGCCCAAAGAAATGCCCTTCTTTTGTTACTGCTTATTTAAAGACGTGTTGTAAAACAACATTGTCAGCTGGAAAGGGAATAAACGTTTGCATTTTGGAGCAATGAGTATCCCGAGATGTGTGCGGTGCTGAAGCGTGCCTGCCTTTGGCTGCAGCTGGTATGACTCACTGCCCATTAAACCTGACCATGGCTCCCTCCTTCCAACCCCCTGGCAGACTGCCATGGAGTGGACCAGGTCGACCCCTCTCCAGTTTGCCACGGAGGTGCTGCTGCTGCTGTACCAGGAGTCGCTGTTCACCGTGCGCAGCGTCCACGAGCTGCTGTGGGGCTACAAGGACCGGCTCCTGTCCACAATCCACGTCCTGCACCCCGAGATCGACCCCGTCTTCGGGCTCTTCAGTAAGGTACCCAGACAGCCAGACCTGTTGGTGCTTTAGGTGGGGAGCAATGCCACTGTTATAGAGTCACTGTGGTCAGCTAGCTGGGAGGGAGGGATGTGCCTGGACTGGAGCTGCAGGGGTAGCAGGATGTTCCCTCTTCAGTTTGGCTGTGAGTGTTTTATCTGTTTATACACTTTATCAGGTGTGGATAAGCTTTCCAAGGGCAAACCCTTCCGCTATTGCTTGGATAACACGGGCTTTGTGGGGCTGGTTGTGCAAACTCCTAGAAGATTTTCCTTAGTAAAGGATTGAAATTGGATGTTATTTCTGTGCTGGAGCCATTTTGGTCCAGTCCCCACATGATTTTGGGTTGTGGGGACTCCTTGTTTCTCAGAGATGTCTGCAGTGCTCAGGTTATTTTCTGTGGGGTTGTTTTCTTGCCGAAGGCTGTTTTTTCAGGGCCAGTTTTCAAAGGGAAAAAAGGCTCATCTGGTGTTGTATTTCCTGTCCTTGAGAGGTGTAAGAACCTTACCCAGTCACTTCCACCTCATTTGTGTTCAAGGTGGAGTTCAATGAGCTGCACAGACCTCAGGGGGAGTCCATCACTCCCGGGGCGGGTTTGAAGTGATGGCATCTCAGACTCCTGCCAGCCCCTTGCAGTGGCCAGCCAGGTGTCACAGGATGAGTGGAGGGACTGAAAACTCCTGCCTCTGTTTGCAGATGAATGGAACCGATGATGGAGAATATGTTTTCCTGAGTGGGGAAACGAACTACCTAAACTTCTCCAGGATTGTGGAGTGGAAAGGAAAAGAGTAAGTTTTTCAGCATGATGTGGCCTCTGTCAGAATCTGCCCCTTGCTTGCCTGGCACCAGTTTAAAGAGGCTGTAGATGCAATTTAAACCCATTTGAATCCCTTTTCTTGTTAGCAGAGCTGAGATAAGAGGACTCAGCACTGTGCGGGTCTGATTCTCGTTTGCCAACTCGTTTTTGACCACTGCACGAAGATCTTTTAACCCTTACTCTCTTTTCTTCCTTTCCTTCAGGTCCCTGAGCTGGTGGACAACAGAGGCGTGTAACATGATCAATGGCACAGATGGGACATCCTTTCACCCACTGATTAGCAAAGATGAGAACATTTATATCTTCTCTTCTGATTTCTGCAGGTGAGGAGAAGACACCTTAAGACTTTAAAGCAGAGCATTTATATCCATTTCTCCTGAGGTTTGTTGTTTAGACTGGTGTTTTTCCTTCCGTGATTTCATTTAACAGTCCTGGTGTGAGGGATGAGAGTGTTACAACAAAAAAAACCCCAATCTGCAGCAAGTTAAGGATGTGCTATTTCAAAATGAAGATAAGGGGAAAATTTGGAAGCTGAGTGGAAAGACAGACTGGACTGCCTTGCAAGGCTAGTAACAAGGGGAATGGAAGGATTTATGTGAACCTTCTTTCCTCCAAAATCTTCCTCTGTGCCCTGCTTTTTTTAGAGAACCCACTTGATGCTGTTTGAAATGCAACAAGAAGCAGAAAATCCTGGTGTTTCCTCCCTTATGTTCCACCTTGTCTCCTCCCTCGCCCATTTCCCGGTCTGTGGAGAACAAAACCGATCCGCAATTAGATGTGTGTGAGTCTGAACTCAGGACTAGCCAAACCTGGGCCTGGCTTTGCTTCCTTTCAGGTCTCTGTACCTGGTGTACGACAGCTCGGGAGCCGTGGCGGGCGTCCCCACCTACCGCTTCGTGCCCTCCTCCATGGTCTTTGCCAACACCACGGTGAACCCGGACAACGCCGGATTCTGCATCCCGCCGGGAAACTGCCCCGGCACCGGAGTCCTCAACGTCAGCATCTGCAAGCAAGGTGTGTCCCCAGGGAAAACTTGGCTTGTCCTGGAGGCAAGGAGCCACTGTTGGCTTTGTAGCTCCAGAATGGGCTCTTCCCTTTGCTGTAAATGGCACAGTGGCAACAGTTCTGAGGCTCTCAAAGACTTCCCTGAAATCTGCTCTGCCTTTTTTTCTTTAGGTGCTGACTTTCTGTGTTTTCTCATTGCAGGTGCTCCAATATTTCTGTCAGCTCCACATTTTTACCAAGCAGATCCAAAGTTTGTAGAGGACATCCAGGGCATGCATCCCAGAAAGGAATACCATGAGACTTTTCTGGACATCAATCCTGTAAGTACAGCCCTTTTTTCAAGGGTTCTGTGGATGAATCCAAGCACCTCCTTGGATGGTGTGTATCGATTGTAGTCCCATTGACCTCAAGGAATCTGTACTGGATGGAAAGGGAGATCCCTCTGGGCAGTTTGGGTCAGCTGTCCCATCCCTGTCCCCTCCCAGCTTCTCACCCACTCTCTGCCTGTGGGAAACACAAAAGGCCTTGAGGCTATGCAAGCACAGCTCAGCAATAACTAAAACATCCCTGTGATGTCCTGCTACCCAGCTGCTACGGAGCAAGTGAATTCTCTCCCAGCTAAACCAGTACCACAGTGATCTCTACGCCCACACACACAAATGTGGGTCAAGGAAAATAGCACAACCATGACCTGCCTGGCTCACGCAACAGTGCTCTGACTCATCGAGCTGTTATGTGCAGCTAAAAAGCGGGAGGAAATTCCACAGTTCTCCTCTTGAGGTCTAGTGCAGATGCTGCTGGGTGTCTAGTTTGGTGCCAGGATCTTGCTGTGTTCTCATAGTTCTTATTCTTTCGTGTTTACTCTGGTTTTTTTGACGCTGATCTCTGTTATTCCTCAGCTGACAGGGCTCGTCCTGCGGGCAGCCAAGCGCATGCAGATCAACGTTCACGTCAGAAAATTACCTGAGTTCTTGTAAGTGTTCCCTGCTGCCTGGTGGGTGTCTCAGGGCTGATTTGGCATTCAGAATTAATTCTCCTGCGGTGTCCAGATGGAATATTGGTTGGAGAGAGCAGGTGTGAGAGAGGGAAATCCAGCTGAATCTCAGTTACAAGAGGCAGTGTCCCCCCTTCCCACAGATCCAGTAGATTTTGCAGTTCCAGCTGCAGAGTAAAGGCAGTATTCAAGAAAGGCAGGTAGATCAGGTACAGAGAAGTGTCTTGCCTGTGACTGCATTGGTATCAGAGAGAGAAATCTTTGCACTGCGGCTTGGGCAGTCAGGACAATCCTGCAAATGGGAACAGTGTAGAATCCCAGGTCACGTGTGAGTGAAAATCCCCATTTTTATTTCATATCAAGTATGCTCTGCTGGTTTTCTGGGTGTCCCAGTGTGAGGGGCACGTCCCCAGATTGCAGCTCATCTGTGCAGAAACACTGTCCCCTTCATCCTATGTCTTCCTGACACCTTGTTTTATTTGTCACTGGTGCTGTGTGGCAGCTATTCCTCCTACTCAGCTGATGTTTACTGGCACAGCTTGGCTGTAACAACTAAAAAGTATTTTATCTGGCCGATCCCCTTGGGAAAGTCAGAGATGTTCCTTCAGAACAGCAGCACTTTGTTTCCCAGTGCCCAGGAGCTGCCACAGTAACAACTTCTGCCTGAGCTGGGATTCCATGTGTGCCAAATGTTGAGGGATTTTTGCTGCTGTGCCCATGTTGCTTGGACAATAGTTCCTGTGTTTTACAAATAGGAGTAACCTCCAACGTCAGCTTAGCTTCACATTCCTGCTGCCTGGCACAAATCTGTCACTCAGTTAGGAATGAACTCCGTGTGGATCCCTCTCATTCTCTCCCCACCAAATCCCCAAAAATGCCACTGCTCCAAATCCAGAACCTGTGATTCACCTCGGAGACTGAGGTTGTTCTACCCCAGTAAGGGAGGTGAAAGCCAACGATAAAAAACAACAGCCCAGAGGTTTTTTAGGGACACTTTCCTCATTCGCTGTTCTATGATAATCTGTCTTCACAACCCTCAATCTGAAAAGTTTCCAAACCGTAATTTTTTACGTTGTTTTATTTTTGACGCAGTGAAACGGGCAACATCCGAACGCTGGTTTTCCCAGTGATGTACATCAACGAGGTAAATAGCTCTGTCCTGCCCTTGCAGCCTTGTGGCGGGTTTGTGCTTGCAAAAACACCCTCTGTGAGCCAACCAGAAAAGAAAATGCTGCTTTCCTTGTTGTTTTATACAGTGACAGGTAGGAAGCTGTTGCTGTCTCTTATCTAACACCCTCCTGCTGCTTGTTGACCATAGTATTGAGTTCAGCCCTGCAAAACACCCTCAGTCAGACATTCCTTTTGGTTTCAAAGGAACTGGCCACGAGGAAAAGGGGGATGCTGGGGTGAGGAGGAGGGAATTCACAAGGTGACATCTTTTTTTGATCCCTCTTTTGTGAACATTCCTGTGCTGTGGTTAGACCACTGAATTAATTGGGTGCAGGGAGGACTCTAGGGGACTACTTTTGATGATGCACACCAATATTCCAGGCCTGTATTAGTCCATTCCTAATCCAAAAGTTAAACATCCTAGTTTTCCTTGGAAATACAGACCAGGTGATCTCTCTGGCCCCTGGAAGAGTTCTTGGAAGGGGAGGGAGTATGTCAGGACGCAATGAAGCAGTGGTGGAGAGCTGTGGGAATGTTGTTTCCCTGCCCTTCACGGAAGTGATCTTATATAAAGAACAGAAATAAGTCTTTCTCTTTTTTTTCTTCTTCATCTCTCTGCTCCAGAGTGTTCTGATCGATGAGGCCTCTGCCAGCAAACTCAGGCACGTCCTGCTGGAAGCCAGTGTTGTAACTGGAATCCCCTTCGTAATCATGGCTCTAGGGATTGCATTTGGGATAGTTTTTACCGTGCTGGCGTGCAGGTCCCGGGGGACAAGTGAAGAGGTAAGAAGCACTTGAACTTCCTTACTGCCCATCTGCCTGTATTTGATTTTCTTTTGGTCGATTTGACCCGTTTGGTGTCTCTCTGCACGCGTTTTTATATGTTGTTTTTGTTTAAAATGACCTTTCCAGGGAGGGGAAGTTTTAATAGACTCAGAATAAACGCGCCAAAGCAAAGGAATGGAGTTAATCTAAGAAACCTGGTAAGGCAGGTCGTGTGTCTGTGCCTAATTCCCCTGCCAACAGCAGTGAAAAATAAATCAGCCTGTCTAGAGGACCCTGAAGGATAACATGCAAAAACCTGAGGGCAGATTCAGTTGGCATTCTGTCAGTGTTCTCAGTAGAAGCAGCTGCGTTGTGCCAGTGGATTGTTTCTGAATTTATGGCCAAAGGACAGCTGAATTTCACAGACAGCAGACTGTAGAGAGTTTTCTCTGAAGAGTCTGTAAATCTGTTTATGAAAAGTTCTGTCACAAGGTGACACGCTGGCATTAACGTGCTCGTCAGGGTGAAAGCTGGTGCCAAAATTTCACCCTAACAGGCAAGTCAGTGGGGTTCAGATGACACAAACTGTGGAGCCTTTGTTTAGAGAAGTAGCCTGGGTACTCTAGGAGGCTGTTTTGTCCTTGTAGTTGCTGTGGGCTTAGTGTGGTCTTGTGTGTTTAGTGTTCCCTGAGTGCTGCCTTACAACCTCTGGAGCATCCAGCCACCCCTCTGGATCAGTGGGTCCCATTACATCCCAGTGGAACTGTACTCCAGGCTCCTTTACAGGAGAGGCTGGTCCTTTTTCCTTGGAGCTTTGGAGCCTGCCTGTGTTATCAGCAGCTCAGAGAATCAAACTGTCCCATTGCCCGAGGCCTGTCCCAAGCATTCCTGCCCCACCCTACATGTACAGCTCTCCTGGATGTGCTGGAACGCTCCACGGGGATCAAAATGACAAAGGGACACCTACATCCCATGTTTTTTCTGCTTTGCTTTCGTTGCTTTTCCTGCAAATAAAGGTAATTCAGCAGTTTGTAGCTCTCCTTGTGATCCCCCGGGTGGTTCTGGCCTTCCACCCTCTGTCAGGTGCTACAGCAGGTCCCTGCCCAAGCTGCCACCCACCCTCTGGTGCTTTTTTAGGAAATTGTACTTAGAAGTAGGGAGCCAAGAGCTTTTCCCTTCCCTGCCTGGGGTCTGGGCACACTGTTGTGTGCCACCTTTAAATTGCTGTGGTTTTTCTCTTCTAGAGTACTGAGGAGGAGAGGTCCCCGCTCATCAGGACGTCTTAGTAGATTTTCTTTACCATGTGAGCTTGGAGAATGAACTCTTAGAGCTGAGCTAACACCAACTACCACTTCCCAGCGTGTCCCCTGCGGAGACACGGCCGTGTCCACATCACTTTCTGTGGGACAGAGCTGGAAGAGAACCCGCCCCGTCAGCCAGGGAGGAGACTTTTCTCGCCAGCTGCTTTAAAACTCCATTTTAAAACTGCTCCAGACCCTGCTTTTCTCACCCCTGCCCTCTGTGTGTACACATGGGGGGGCCATAACCACTGTGTGGGCGACAGCACACCGGCCTCATTCCCTACGGAGACGACACGGGAAGCCTCTGCAAACGGCCCTCTGGGAACACAGCAGGCTCCTGGGTGGGCCGGGGACGAGGGATAGTCCTGCTGGTGGTGTCTCTGCTGTAACTTAGTCCCGAGTGTTTGTTACTCATGTCCTTTACAGCATCGGTGTGTCACTAACCCCAGCCAGAACTTCGTGCAGCGCCGGCGGCTCCGGGTGGAACCAAACGGCTGGAAATGCTTTTCCACACCCACCTCCCGGCTGTCCCCACCGTGCATGTTGGCCAGGCTTTCGTCCTTTGGGTTTGGGGTTGTCCTTCAGCTTAGAAACCCGCGGCTCGGCGTTGTTCCTGGGGCGGGGGGGGGCACAGAGCTGGGGGTTTGGGGTGAACTGGGCATGTTTGGGATGGGAGCAACCCTTCCGTGTTAAACACGGACAGGGGCCCGGCAGCTCCTCGCACTGTTTTTTACTTGTCAAGCACAAACTTGTTTTAAAAATCACAAGTGTTGTTGGTTTTTTTTTCTCCCCTCCCCCCCCCCACTGCCCCCTATTAAAAGACTATTCTCGTGTGTTCCCATTAGACAGTGAAACGTGTTTTTACAAGGTGTTCTTGTCTTCTGACCGGGAGCGTTTGGGGTTTGCACTGGTTGGCTTTGAGGGGGTTGTCCTGGCTCGTGCTCCGGTGTTATCCCCGCGAGGCTGGTGAGGGGCTGGAATGGAATTCCCGGAGCAGCTGTGGCTGCCCCATCCCTGTGACTGTCCAAGGCCAGGCTGGACGGGGCTTGGAGCAACCTGGGATAGTGGGAGGTGTCCAAAGGAATGGGGCCGGCAGGGGGACAGCGGGAACTGTCTCCCCAGAGTGAGAGAATCCTCCCTTCGGGAGGGGACGCAGGAGGGGGAAATCCCGGCCTGGGGCGACCTGTAGCTGAGAATATTTTCGCCCGCCTGATCATTTTTAATCCCTGTTCAGCCCAAAGAAGGGTATTTTCTCCCTTCGATACACGGGGACAAGAGCTGTTTGGGTTTATTACCGCTAATTATCCCTTTATTTCCCTGTCTCCCATGGTACAGTCCCCCGTCCCCCCCCCTCCCTTCCGCCGCCCGCGGTGGTACAGCCCGCTGGCGCGCGCCGATTACGTAAACGCCCGGCGCCCGCGCGTCGGTCGCGCCACCCGGAAGCGCTTTGGCGGCAGCGGCGGCGTCTCGTGCGGCCGGTTTTGTTCGCGGCCGGAACCGCCGCGGGGGCTCGCACGCGCCTCCCGCGGGGTATCTCCCCCCGCGCCGCCACCCGAGCGGCCCCATGGCCTTCAACTTCGGCGCGACGGCGGGAGCCGGGGCCACCAACCCGAGCGGTGAGCGCAGGGGGAGCGGGGCGGGGCGGGGTCGGGAGGGGCGGGGGGAGCCGGGCGGCGGGCAGCGCGCGCCCCCCCTCCGGCCAATGGGAACCGCGGCGCGTGCCCCTCGGCCAATGAGATCCCTGGCCCGCTCAGCGGCCCGCGCGTGCCCCCCCGCCAATAAGGAACGGCCGCCGGCAGCACGTGCGCCCCCGGCTTTGAGAACCGCACGTGCCCCGCGCGCGATAGGAACCGCGCGTGCCCCGCGCGCGCCCCCCCGCCAATGGGAACTGCAGCCGCCTCAGAGCCCACGCGCACCCCCCTTCCAATGGGAACCGCGGTGGCGGCCCGCGCGTGCCCCCCCCGCCAATAGGAACGGCGGTCACCTCAGAGCCCTCACGCGCCCCCCCGCCAATGGGAACCGTGGCCGCCTCAGAGCCCTCACGCGCCCCCCCCCAATGGGAACGGCGGTGGCGGCCGGCGTGCGCCCCCCGGCCAATTGGCTGCGCGGTCCCCACACGGCCACCCCTCAGTGCCCCACCCCGGCCACGACGGGACTCGCGAGTCGGTCCCGGGGCGCCCGTGACGAGGCCGTGCGGGCCACTCCGGGCAGCCCTTTGCTTCCAGTGACGTTATTGCTTGGATGAGGTGCCCTGGGAAGTTCGCTTTGGGGCAAGGTAAAACACGGCTTTTAACTTGTAAAGGAAGAAAGACCTTTTTTCCCCTCTTATTTTGTCGCTGTCAGTCGCGGTGAAGTGTAAGCCTGAGCCTTCCTTACACTCACTTGGTAAAATAAATCATTGCTGGCTCCTAGTAGACCATCTGAGCAAGTCCTTTGGGCAGGTCCCACGTTCACTGCAGCTAACCTGAATGTTACTGTGTGATTTCCCACTCCGAGTGTTTCACACACTCTTTCTGACCCCATCTGAAAGTGAAGAATAACCTTGTGCTGTTTGTACACCGTGACAAGGTTTATTACACACACAGCCCAATATCAGAGGGAATTCTGGGGTCGCAGCCCAGGTCTTCCCACTGTCTGTGCAGCATGAACCTGTTCCAGCTGCACCCTGGGCACACTGAGATGGGATGCAGAAGGTAATTCACCAGCAAGGCTGGGGTGGGCAGATTTTGGGATGTAACTCGGATAAGTCCACCCTGGAATAACTGAGGCATGTGTAGTGCCTCAGCTGCTGGAGGTGTGTTTTCATACTTCCAGCAGCGATGTGTGGAGCTTTTAACTGTCCTCCTTGTGTCCAATAAATAATACCTTACTCTTGTTTTTAACTGTGCCTGTCTGGTCCACGGGAATGTAAAAATGTTTCAGGTTTTCCCTACTGCCTTTTACTCAGAAGAACTAATGTTGCCTTGCTCTTTTTCTGCTTCCCACTCGTCAGGATTTGGTGGGCTTGAAACTGCAAACTCCACTGCCAGTGGGTTTAATTTTGGGGGTTTCGGATTAACTGCTAATCCCGCGGTGAATTTTAATATTGGGAATTTCGGTGTTTCCACTACCTCAACTCCACCGTTCAATTTTGGTAACAGTCTGGCAAGTGCAGGTAGATAATGCGGAAATACTTGTTCTGTGGTAAATGTTCCTAGCAGGGGTCCAAGAATTACATCCCTAACTGGGAATCTGGGACAGTACTAATCTTCATATCCAGTGAAGACTGGGGAGAAAAGCTCTGGAAGTGGAGTGGGTCTGAGATCCATAGGCTTGTAGGGGTTTTGCCTGTTAAATTCTGAAGGAATAGCTTTTAAAGGAAAAACAACTCTGTACCAAATACTCAGTCTCTGAAATGGGAATGAATTGGGGTCACCCACCAGTCTGAAATTGGGCCTCAGTCAGAGCCAAACGGCGCCGTCAGGTCTCCATTCAGATCCAGGCGATTCCGAACAACCCCAGAGCTGCTCCCTGTGCCACGTTTCCTGACATGAGATTCTTGGACTGCTGCAGTCATGTTTTCATCTTCCCCCTGTGTTCTCATTGGCCTTGCGTTGGCTGTCATGAATGCACCACACCCCAGCAGTTTCTGTGGAGAAACAAATTGTATACGACCGGCACAAAAGCGCAGCCCAGCCCTGACCTGTTCCCCAAATGCTGCCGAGCATCCCAAAACCTCCCCGGCTCTCCGGAGGGAAGCTCGGTGCTCTGGGAAGGGCCCTCGGTGTCATGGGTGTGCTGGGTGGTGGTTGAGAATACCCTTTGTGGCCCCATATAGAACCAGGTGATGTAATTTCACCTTAAATCTTTCCCATTTTGTATAAAAACGCTGGGCTGGATGGATTTCTAATGCTTTTGCTCATGTGGAATTATCCCAGGGATCCCGTTGCCGCTGCTCGTATAGGAATTCCATCCATTCCACAGTGCCATCTCTCCCTGTGTCAGCGACTGTCACCTGCTGTGTGCACTCCAGGGACCTGGTTTTGTTTGGGTTTATTTGCTGGGGGCACTCTTGGGCTGTATTTCTTTGGCTGAATTTGAGCTGCTCCAAAAGAGAACTTGGGCACTTAATTTGGTTTCCCAATTTGCACTCTCAGATCCCTTTCAAAGAAAGGATGACTAAAGAGTACAAAACCACCCAGAGATTGTGTCATCTGCTGGTGCTCCTGACAGGGTGTTTTACTCACTGGTAGGACAGAAATATGGATGTTAGAGGGAACAACTTCTTAAGACCACTGGCATTAATATGACTGCTGAACAGAAATAAAATGTGATTGCACGTCAGCCTTGTTTTAAGCTTTTTAACTTGACTGTGTACAGGAGGACTGTAGTAGATTTAAAGAACCTTTTTTTTTTTGGCATAGGCATGTGAGTTAGCAGTGGCAGCATCTTTTTGACAAATCCTTTGTAACACAGTGTCTTTCTTCATTTGAACATGTGTAAAACCAGGCAGACACAGAGAGAACTTGGTTTCCTGGGCTGTCAGCACTCCACAGGCTACACCTTGGGCCAGCGCTGCATTGGCACCACTGGAACTCAGGCCCTCCCTTAGGCCCTCTGCTGCTGCCCATTGACTGCTTTTCCTGAAAATCTGTGGGAGGCTGATTGCTTTTGCATCCATCTTCCTATACTAGTGGTTGAATCTCTGAATGAGGTTTAATGGGGAAGATGATAGGGAAGCTAGGCTTAAAGAAGAAAGGACCTTCTAGAATTTTACCTGTGAATTTTCCCTGTAAGCACCATGACCGTGGACACGCTAGCCTCAGGCTGTGATTTATTTCAAAGGGTTAGCAGTGTTTGAAAAGTTTACAAAACATCAGGTTGTTTATTTAACACCCAGCAGTGACATTGAGCAGAGGTATTCCTGGGAATGAATGTAAGCAATACTACGATTAGTTGTGTCTGTCACAAGGGAAAGCACATCCTGCTGGTAAAGGAACAGGATGTCAGTTGACAGCTGCCTTTTTGTTTACTCTCTTGACACACCACACAAGTTCTGGCTTTCTGGTCCGTGTTTTCTCCCCCATTTCCTCAGACAACAAGCTCGATCCCCCAGACCGTTGTGAAGCACATGCTTGTGACATGTCCCATCCATGTGTCAGACCTGTTCTCATCACACCCCACAGTGCGGTCGCTCGTGGTGCTGTGTCTGCTCCGCTCCGTGAGCCTCTGCCTGACTCCTGCTCTTTGTTTGGCAGGAGCATTTGGGGGGTTTGGCACCACCACCACCACTGCAGCACCAGCGTTCAGCTTCTCTGCTCCCACCAACACGGGCACCGGCGGTAAGAGAGTCTGACCTGTTGGCTTTAGAACAACCCACGAGTGCTTTGGATTGCACAGGCACTATCCTCCTCTTCTCTCAAAAATCCTCTGCTTTTCCCCCCAGGACTCTTCGGTGCCACCCAGAACAAAGGCTTTGGATTTGGCACTAGTTTTGGCACAGGAACTGGAACTGGCTTGGGTAGTGGGTTGGGAACTGGGCTAGGCTTTGGAGGCTTCGGAACCCAGCAGCAGCAGACCAGTGAGTATGGCCTTCTCTGCACTTACCCCTCTCTTTGCAGGGAGACTGTCACAGTTACTCAGGTAGTGGGACAGAAGTGTACTGTAAAAGGAGGCTGTTACCCACCTCCTGATTGAGGGAGACTCCTTCACAAATTTGGCATTTGAAGTGCCTACACTTGCAGCACTTGCCTTTTTCGTAACTAACTTTACTAGAGCTCAAGCGAGTTCCTGAGCTTCTGACAATATGTACCCCTGTGGTTTAGTGGTGGTAGAAATCGTAGTTACGAAATTGATGTTGCAGTCACAGCATTACTAGA